GCGAACGAATGATTGTAGAAAGGCGCTATTGATTGTGCTTATACATGGAAATTTTACTATTGAATGTCTTAAATGCTCGCATGATTGTCAATCGATGCATTTGATTGTATTTTGGTACTAATGAACTTCCATTCCGTTTGATTAAAAGTACTTTCTTTATATTTGATTGTTCAAAGGTGCAATTGTTTGTTTGAGGATGGTATTGAATGTCATTTCATATGTAAATAGTCTAATTGAATGTTTCCTAGCACTATTGAAACTTGGATCATGCTATTGCCTGCCTGTTGGCGTTAATGTTTTTATTCCTGACGTAAATGAATGCATTTTTTGCGCAAATGAACAGCAAAAGGTGTATTTCCTATGTGATAACTGATATCTATACATCTATTCATGGACATTCTGTAATACAATCTCAACATTGGGGCAATTTTGCTTTATGTTGTCAATCACATCATAAAATGCCTCTTCATCTTCAAAAATSCCTATATTGTCTCCTAGTTTTACTCTGGAGAGATTGGGGCAATGTAACGATATTGTAGTTAGATTTTTACATCCAGAAATTGTCAGCTCTTGTAAAGATGCACTTTCCAGATTCAACTCATTCAYATCACATTTTGAGACTTCCAGTGACCTGACATCAATGTTGACTGGGAAAGAATCATGTAAAGAACAATTCTTTATCTTTAACTGTCCAATTCTGTTTTCTCCCATCATTGATAACTTAACAGAACACACATTATCGATACTAAGAGTCTGAATTATTGTCCCACGTGACAAGATAATTGTTGTGATAGGCTTTGTATTTGTTAACGGGCAGAGATTAATAAATGAGCAGTCATTTATAAATACCAGATTAAGTTTAGGACACTCTAGAAGCACAACACCAAGGTTAGGCACTTGACATATAACAGCTACATCACACAYCTGCGCCCTTAGATAAACTCCTTGTTTAGATGTACTGTCAGGATCAATGCACTCAGCGCTAACATCCAACCTTTGCAGCTTGTTACATGTTGTAGTAATATTATGAACTGAACCATTGACACACAGAACTTCAAGACTTGGACAAAGCTCATTAGTTAAATTCAACGACGCAGTGAAATATGCTCCTATATTAAGGTGTTTTATACTTGGGTTCTTTCTCAGCAATAACGAAAGGGTGTCAACATTAATACTGTTCCTTGGACCAACATCTGTAATCTCTAATGTTACTAGATTTCCCATCTCTAAGCTCARTATATCCAGATGCTCATCAAATGAYCKAAGAGGCCCAAGGACAAGGTTCTCTAAACAGGGTGCTGTGATATGAAGGGAATCTAGGTGTAGATCTGAGATGAAAAGYTTTTTGACACTAGGAACAACCATACTGACTGATACTATGTTTGCCATGTCCCAGATCTTGAGCTCTTCTAAGGAATTTGACTCGATATCAACAGCTGACAAATCATCTGTGTCTACAATCTGTTAAAATACAAGATACAATGATAGATATGTTATTCTATTACACTTGAAACTTGATTATTCTGATTTGTTGGTCCCAGGGTAAAATATCCAGATCATCAAAAAACCTAGATAATCAAATTGAGGTTTGACTTTATGTAGCATAGTCTTTTGCAAGATGCAAATTTAYATGTGTGATATCCATTGACAAAGTATCATGAATCCCCACCCTCTTTATAAGGGAATCCCCCTACTGTACWGTGAAAAGTTTGTCAGTACATGGGTAGTGTGTGTGTAAGAACAGGTTATAGGAGTGCCTTCTATTCATTTCAGAGAATAAATAAGTACTGATGTTACTGTATTATCTTGTAAATGATTTGTAGGGAGGAAGGTCAAGTGAAGAGGCAAGGTCATGGGAATTCCCCATTCTCATGTCAAAGGTTTGTAGCAAATACATTTAGGAATCAATAATTGATTCCTGGCCCGAAAGTTGTTCATAAGGCTTTCTTATGATATATTATTTATGCCGAAGCTAGACAAGGCGGTATAGTACCATGCTTTTGTACCTTTTGACAGGATTTGTTAAAAAAACTGCATATATTGTGTATTATTGATAAAGCCTTGCTTAAATCTGATCTAAAACCCATATTCCTATCCTTACCCATAGATCAAACATGTATCAAGTATATCAAACAAATATATCAAACAAATAGACACAGTGCAATGCAAACACATCTTKAGGGCACTTTTCAACAAAAAAAGACACACCTTTTTTGTGCATTTTKGGGTCATGCAATCACAGCTGAATTTGTTTCAGTTTTCAACCATTGGATACTTACATATGTGGTCAGTTTGAACTTCCTGAGTCCTGTAAAGAGTTTCATGAATTTCTTGACATCCTCACCATTTATGAACACATCYTCAAGGCTAATGACTGTAACTTTCTTGGCAAATTCTGATTGGGCAAGGCTCATTAGGAAACGCCCAACATCTACACGTCGATAAGCCTTGATGAAGGCACTGTCAATACCAAGAATATTGCACCCTCCCTCTAAGCGGAACTTAATCTTGATTTCACTCAGCTGTTTTAGCTTTGAGAATGCTGGAGCAACAGTCTCAAACGATAGAAAACAATCACAGAGCTCAACTTTAGTTAAGTTTGGAAAGTAATCAGCAAATTTCAGCACAATATCTTCAGAAATTCGAGTAATTTGTCGTTCTTGTGGTGTGAATTGTACGCCACGTACAGAAAATTCCTCTAGTGACGTACTCTTAGACAAAGAAGCAAAGAGTCGGTCCTCGCATGGTAAATCCACGTTGATTGATTTAAGAGATTTGAGGTGTCCAAGAGCACTAAAAATGGATGCCTTCAGTAGATTCTCTTCTCGGATATTCTTTGTTTTCAATCTTAAAATAAAACGACCAAATCTTCGTAGTATTTTAACAATCTTAACAGCCATATCATATTCGAAGGAAAAACGCTGTTCTTCGTGATCAATGTACAAAGACGTTGAAAGTGGTTGGGTGTTGAAAATGTTTGTTGATTCCAGATTTTTCCATAATTTTGGAGTATTGTAAATGATATCTCTCCATCTTCGGCACACTGAAGCTAGTTTGAGAAGATCGTCGTCCAGTGGATGAAAATAGCTGAATATTAAGCTACAGATCTCGTCAGGCAAAGAGGAAAATCCCCGATCGCCCTTCGAAGCGTCCGCCATTATACTTTGTTGTGCGATTCTGTTTTGAGGGAGGGGAGYCAGGGGTTAATCTTTGACCTTGTCACGAAACTTATGTTGAGAGATTACAAACCTAAACTATTCTAAATTGAAGATTGAAATGTTTTTTTATTACAATAGGTTTTTCCCCCTCAATAATACGTTACTTTTTTTAGTTTTTATAATTTTTATATCGAAAAGGTTTTGTTTCTTATAATCAGTATAGATGCAAAATCTCACTTTCTGTACCCCCTAGCGCAGAGTTTACACCCACAATGCATCATCGCACATGACTTTGAGTAAGCTAAAAAACAACAACAGCTTTGAAAATCTCTCGTACTTAAAAACTCATTATATCTCCTTGATATCGAAAAGAACTCCTCTAAAATGAGTGAGGGATACAACTCCTCGCCTAGAAAAACTGAAGCTATGAAAACCTTTGCAGGGCGYTCCAGCTCTCTACAAGAACAAGATGCCTCCCCTACTGCAAGTCCAGGAACAATTCGCAAGAAAAACACGTTTTTTGGATCACTCAGATACACCAAGAAAAAGCACAAGAGTATAGAAATACTTCGTAGTCAGGAGCTGATTGCAGAGGAAAATGAATCTGGTCTTTTCATGGTGAGTGTCTTTGGTTATATTAGATTYTGTGTGCATGCATTTGATCTTCATTGTAGGGAACCTTTCGAGGTCACTTCCTGTGAGTGACAAAATGTCTACGTTTCAATGGACTTTTACGCTTTATCCATGATATCAGGTGTTTTTCGAGCTGTTTTGATTAGATAAATACTTGCTTTATTCATTTACTGTATTGTTTTGAAACTGTTCATTTTATTTTCSCGAATGATCGACTATTGTAGAGGATACCAATTGAATGTTCTTCGACATTTGAATGGGCTTCCGGTTCGTGTCGACTATCAGYTGAAGTKATCACAAACSTGATGTKWACAACAATTTAAAAATGGCTTTGACATCGTTTTGGCACATGCTACGATTTGCTTGATTGATTTAAACAAATGCTAATTAATAGTCTTAAGTTGTATGCTTGTATTTAATTCGACGTCCACGTATCAATTTTTATAACTCTTTACTTGTTGATAATTCCTCCATACTAAAGCCTCTAAAATTTAAAATCACTACAAATAATAAATGTGTTTGAAAGAAAATGCACTTTCAGGGCGATGTTAAAGAAAATACTTTCAATCTAAGTGATTTTCACTTTCTTGTACATGACGTCATTGTATATGTGATCGGAAGGTTTTGTATTTAAAATAGCTCTCTAATAATTGTTAAAACTTAACAGCAACAAAAAATAAGTTACATACTTCAATTATTTRCATTCTTTTAAAGTTTACAGAGGAAATATATTGTACAAATTTATAAAATATTTTCAATCTTAATTATTTGTATAATACTTGTACAGACAAATTTCTTATTTCAGAATCCTCAAAATTCACTAAAATCTCTATGATTTTATTAATTGTAATAGCTTATACATAAAATATGGAAGGACTCACGTTGGAAAAGTAAATTTTTGTTGCAATTGCGATCTTTCATCTCCAGTGTTGTAACCTTTCTATATTAAAATGCTAATCCGTGACTGTAATTTAACACCAATATTTGATAAATKACATCATCATATCAACTGGTTCTTGCAACACAATTGATAAAGTCTGTGCCAAATATTAACATYACTACTTGTAAATCAAAATACTTGCTTAAAAACTCCATAAAGTATGAATGGAAAAACAAGATTTTATGTTTAYGAGGTTAGCAAAGTGGTTGARCACTGTTTTTCTAAYTATATTTTGAATGTCTCAATAWTTTGGTGTGTTAATGCATSTTGTTTGSTCATGCAGGACCAAAAGGAAGGTGATGCAGAGAGGATAAGACTATTAAAGTCTGTTAAGGTACATGACAGCTACTATAAATTACTTTTAATCCAGTATAAATTGACCATTGTTTATTCTTTTAGTTTGCACTCCTACCAGCTATTGTGATTTCACTCAAAMAACTTACTTAATATGTATAAAATCTTATTTATTTGATTATTTGTTCTATTTGTGTGTACAGAAGTACAAGTTATGTAACACTTACAGTAATACAAACACTTCTGGAACAATAGGAACAAATATAGACAATATTTTTATAGCATTTTTACATCACATTTGTTTGTTATTGTTGTGTTTCATTTTCTATCATGACAATCCTAGTTAATGTTTCAAATATTTTCTCACACAATTTGTCTGCATTTATGTATTAAAATCTGCTTCCCATATGAAATACTAAACTGATTGAGCAGTGACACATGGCAGCTAGCACAGGTCAAGACCCGGTCTTTGTCTGTGCATGTTTTGATATTATATCAGCATGTCACGTATTTGCAGAAATAACCTGATAGACAATCAGATCATTTGATCTGTACCAGAAGCAGAAACTCACTTTCAATATTAAATCAGTTTATAACCATAACAATGGCATTTTATTCATACTTAATATCACAATGTCTGCCATTAAAGGAAGGGAGAATGAGYATAGAAGAAGCCATGCAGCAAGCTGAGGAACTTGGGGTTCAATCAAGTTATCATGAAACTTCCACAGAGGAGACAATATTTAATTTTGGGATCTATAAATACACAAAGAACAGAGCTTCTTGTTCTAGGAGAATTCTACAGGTTTGTACCACTAATAAGGATCAAAAGGAATTGGGTTTATATTAATTTATAGACATTTTAGTCACATAGGGATGTGTTGTTGTTGACTGCTGGTTGAAGAAGATCATGTGACATATTGTCTTGTTTGCAACTTACTGTTATATGCATTAACTCTATTATGTTTCAACATTAATATATACTAAAATGTACATGTTGAGGAATTTTCAGGCTATTAAGGTGTAATGATTGATGATTTAAATATCTGATGAACTATAGGGACACAACAGGAAATATAATATTTTGTTCTTGATTGAAAATTATTGTAAACTTATAGATTCAACATTAAGCCTTAAAATCTATTATTTTTCTGTTCCACTTGAACATAAGAGAAACACACTTTTTCCCCTTCAAATATTCATGGTGCCCCTTGTATATGTCCTTATGAAAAGTGTTTATGAAAAATTTAATGTGTTTTTTTTTTTTGCAGTTTGATTTTCAAGAAAAAGTTTTGTGTACAATCCAGAAGGGAAGCCGAGGAAGAAAGTTTGAATTTTCACAGATACGAGGTTATGATAGCGAGGTAAGATGCCACTARCAAATAACAGAATCCACATCTTTCTGTGGTCCTGGTTCCTTAAGGCCAATTTACACAGTACAGTTGTTGTGTGTGACTTAATGTAGTATACAATTTTCCTACAACAAGTGGCAGGATTTGAGTTGTGGTTCAAAATCATGTTACAAGTCACAGGTTGCGTACAACTGTAGTGGGAAAGTGGTAGGGACATTTACATGGTCTGATTCTGAGCTCATTTGAATTGAATACTACAAGTCACACACRACAATTGTACMATGTACATAAATCAACCTTTAGATGCAACATTTAGCCTTCACTGGAYCCRTCTYACTACAGTATTTCAGGTCTTGGGCTTCCTGGCCTGTCTTTTTGAAGACRTCTTAGAGAAGAAAACAATACAGAATAAAACATACGTCTGATAATCATTCATTCACTTAACAGGATGGAGTTCGTTTTGACATTTATTTTGAAGATTATCATGATTATGAACTGGATGCAGACACCGTTGAGGAGAAAAACAAGGTAAAACATTTGCCAATCTGAATCTTCCTCCCCCCCTGATTCACATCACCATCACCTGGCTCACATCAACTCACATTATTATCATCACAATTCCACATCTAGATTTGTACTCTATTGGAATCTATTGTGCAGCAAAATAAAGGTGATGAACCTGATGGTAAGTTCTTGAAGTGACTGTTATTGCTTTCACTTTTCATTTCCCATCCATTTCCATTGCATTTCAATCACATTACGATAATATAAGCTGCATTTATTGATCACGTTGTTTTTTGCAGGTATTTTTGAAGCTCCTGTATTTGCTGACAAGAAGATTATTAAAGAAGGTCAAGTTGAGAAGAAAGGACATAGTGCGGCATTCATGATGTGGCCGAGGTAATCTCAC